AGATATTTTCAATAAGGTATGAAATTAAAATTTTGTAATATACTGTGAAGAACACAATTATCACCAATTAAGGGGGTAGGAAATTTTAAGGAGTATTTGATAGGTGGATATGATAACGCTATACACTGCTGTTGTGTAATTTTCTCCAGCATCACCCACATATTCAAAAACACATGCACAAGCCATTACGTTCAATAAAATAAAATATTAAAATAATTATTTTATGATATAACTCATTTAATCAAATGCCTATTTGACATACAAATTAAGTCAACAAAATAAGGCCTACTTAAAATTATCAAATTTTAATCAAGAAAAAATATTTGAGCTCATTGTCTATTTCTATTGGTTATTTTATAAGTTTTTTTTTTCAATATGTTTATTTAATCAATGGTTTGGTTAAGATTTTTTGTCTAAATCATGAAATAAAAGGCCACTTCAACTTACATGATAAGTTATTAATAAAATATAATGAATACAAACTTACTAGACGATCTTCAAAAACTTGAATTTGTTGTAATTTACTAAGAGCTTTATTATAGGCATCCACAGTTGATTTTTCTTTTTCAAGATTTTCAGCAGTCAACCATTGTTGATACTCTGCATAAGTGTTTTCCATATCAAATAAAGGCACAGAAAGTTGTCGACGATACAAATTATTTATACGACGTTTTTGATCATTTATAGCTTTTTCATCAGTACCTTGCTAAAAAATAAAACCAAATATAATTTAATATTTATTAAAATTAACTGGAATGAGTATAATTAATGTTTCTTTTAACCTTCAAAGACATTAAAATTAATTTTTCAAATTCATTGTACACTTCAAAAAGAACATTGCCATTAGGTACATGAAGACCACCTGCTGTCAATGCACGTTCCATTAATTCTCGTATGATGTCTGTTCCAGTAGTATCAGACATGCAACCAATGCTGAATTGTACATATTCTAACCATAAATCTATACCTGTAAATTAATAAATGGATATACATAAATAAAGTATAATAAAATATAAATTTAAAAATATTCATTTATCCTTTTGTTAAAATAAATATTTTCATACAAATTATGAAAAACATAGCATATTTCACAAACATTTTAGAATTTAGTGATACTGAGAAATATACTTAAATGTTATTTCTATATAAGTATAGTTTAGGAATTATAGTAAATAAGATAGCATGTATGACAAACAAATAGGTATAATAAAAAAGTAGCAATTCATTAGTGACATTGAGTAATTAAATATTTTATAATTACTTAAATAATCTTTAACTGCTTTTTCACATAATTTAATTATATTATCTTTTTCTTCATCAGTAGTTACTATAGCTATTTCATCTTTTATCCAGTCCAACCATAAATCTGAAAAATGTATGTAAAATAATGAGTATATTTTTTATAGATAGATACCTATATTTTAAATCCTAGTAGTGACATAAACGAATTAGTCCTGTGTAACTAATTATTGTTGACTAAAATTATATTTTTTATCAAAATCAATTGGTTTAATAATAATTGTACTTTTATGTATCACTGAGACTGATAGACTGAAGGTTGAGTACTACCCAAAGTTTTGAGACTTTTTTTTTTTTAGGTGGATGGGAGTTGTTGCAAAGTCCTGGATTATAATTTTGAAGAGAAGGCAAACCCTTATGATAAATGATAATTTATTTTTAAATTAATACTATACTTAACACACTATTATATTTTTAATTTATTAATCACCTTTAAATTATATTACATATGAAGAAGAATAAATAAATATATTCAAAAGAATATTTAGTAGCTTAAGGCCCCATACACGTCAAACAAATTTGCGCAACCGACTGTGTTTGTGCACATATTTTGAGAGTGTATGGCCTGGTTTGAGGTTTGCGCAACAGTTTGATCGGTATTTCGGTCGGGATCGAAATTTTTTGGCCAAACATAGTTTTTGCACAAATTGTTTGAAGTGTATGGGGCGCTTTAGACATAATCATGGTAATCTATACACAAACCAGCGATGGTCCGTGTGTTCCGATGAACCTAAGGGTACTGTGGGACAATCTCAAGGGTTCCGTCAGATGTATGTGAATATTGAGAAAATAATTTTATATTATACTTTGAACAAAAGTTCACCTAAATAATGGTTCCTAGTATAATATTGTAATAAAATAATCGTTTTACAGACATTAGGGTTCCAAGAGACACGAAACTTTTTCCTGAGGTTGCCGTGGTCGTAAAAGTTTGGGAACCGCTGATATAGATTATAATACTCAAATACACATTATCAAATAAGAAGAAAACTATGCATGAGTTTAGCTTCTAAAATCAAACACACCAGTAGTAATTTCTTCTATCAAACAGTAGATCATGACTACCTATTGTAACTTTTGCTCTAAGTAATTAATTAATAATTATTAGATGCCTTCTTAACCGTGTCAGTTTTATTAATTGCTTAATATTAAGAGGACGTCACAATTGTACGTGTTGTCTCCATCTTACAAATGTACAATATAGCAAAAACTGTTTTATGCGGGACAATTTTATTCCATCCGTATTTATAGTAGAATTACCAAAATTATACAACGCATAAGGAAGAACTTTATCTGTGTTGTAGTGTTTTTATTATTAGGATAACATAAATACATTTAAAGTTATCAGTTTGAGAACATTAGGTGTTTATGTTTTTTAATTTAATTATTAAAAATTATTAGTTAATGCTAATAAAAAAAAAAGTAAAACTCGAAATGATAACTAGAATTTTAGTAATTCTACTATAAATACAGAGGGAGTAAAATTATCCAGCACAAAACCGTTTTTGCTATGTTGTATATTTGTAAGACGGAAACCACACATGCGGGTGTGACGTCCTCTTAATAATGAAAATAACATACTTGCGCTTAAAGGATATTTGTCATTTAAACGTTTTCTAGCCACTCTCAGTTGATCCAAATCATCTGCACAGCGAAGCACTTCTATTAGTTCAACATGTGCATCGTAATCTGATGGATTAATTAGAATCTAAAAAGTACACAAAAGATTTTTTCATAAAATAGAGTTTACCTTTTACTTATTAATGCGTATAAATGTTAATAATATTAATTTTAAATGTAGTTGTAAATTATCAATCATCAATGCAATATTTTAATATAAAATACATTATGTATTTCTATCCAGAAGTCGGGTACTTTTTAATGTTTAAGTTTATTATACATAAAATATCTTAATAATTAAAAAACCAGGTGAACAAATTTTTATTCAAAATTCACCTTATTCTCTAAAACATTAATTTTTTTTTTAATTTCATCTTGCTTATATTTTTCAAGCTCTTCGTCATTGGAGTCTGAAGAAGAGGAGGACGAAGAATCAGAATCTACGTCCATAACGAATTAATAAGTCCACACTCGAATAGACGAATACACAAAAACGGAAAAAAATAAATCAAATTAAGACAACAAATAATAATAATATCACGTTTTTGCCGATAAAATGAGAACAACTCCAGTCAATAGTCGACTACAAAAGTACAAACAACAACTTGAACAACAAGAATACAAGATACAACACTAATTCAATCAAGTAAGTATCAACATGACATTTTACTGATATTATAATATTATTATTTATTATCTTAGTCCGTGGGTGTAAACAAAAATCATAACCACGATAACAAGAAAAGTATCGTGATACCGAATGGGGCTATAGCTATACGACCTTTCATACTTTGGTGTGTAATGCTATATATTAACATCGTCCGTGTCGACAGTATTACCACTGGAAAATATAGTCAAATATCTAGTCAGCGCCCTGTGGTAACTGGTAGTATTTACCATGGATAATGGACCTATAAACTACATATCTTATATATTCATATTTATTCGTTTACCAAATATCACAGAACAATAAAACCATTAAAATGTTTTGAATTTTGAAATGTATTATCCATAAAACTACGATCAATAAGATCAATTTCTGGCGTTCAATCGTCCAACTATTTATTCTCGGATAATGTTTACCTACAACTGATCAAGAGTTTTCGAAAAGTCAGAACTAAAATATATAGATTGTTGTTAAATTTTGAAAATCCTGCGGTCTGTTCAAAAATCAAAATACAATTTAATATATATGAATACAATTTATAAGATTATGCTCTTTATTAGCTGTATAATATTATGTAACTATGTAAGAATAAAATCTAAGTCGTTTCCGTAATGGAAACCGGTTCCGATTTAAGTATGACCACTCAGGGAACTGGGAAGTGTGTTTATCCGATGGTCCCTACAACCAGCCACCGGTTGTAGATTTAAATTTAAATAGATACTACATAATGTATCTATTTAAATTATTTTCACTCCAATTGTTGGTAAGCGTTATGAGTTCACAATCATCGGTATCCATTTTCGGCGTAAAATGTAAATTAATTGAAAATAAATTTGATTTCTTTTTTCATTCAATAAATCAAAAACAAATATGCTGGGTATGTTAATTTTGGTCATTTTTCGTCTTCCAACGAAGCCGATCAACTTTTCGAACGCGCCGCGTTTCGTGTATGTACCACTATTTTTTTTAAGTCCATGCACGCATGTCAGGGCAGTCCATGACCCGCGTCGAGTGTCGAAATCGCCGAATACGCCGCCGCCACCGCCGCCTGCGCCACCTACGTCGCACTCGAGACTCACCATTAATTTTCAACGTTCCATGAAAAATGCTATTCGGATCAGATGTAGGTGCCCAAGTTTTCCCGTCGAACACATTTTATATCCGAATACGTTCATGAGGAATGAAGCCGGACCGTCTATGAACTCTGAAGCCGTCAAACCGTGTTATTATTATTATTGTACCTATTCGTTGGATGATAATTTAATAATTATTTTATAAGTGCTTCTAAATGTTGTAGCCATTTTGTCATTGTTATCTACATATAGACTGAGTCGAAAATATTTAAAACGTCTGGCTCATTGAGGACGAGAATTCTTTTACTCAGCTCTATAATATAGTATTAAAATCGAGAGCTATGCTGTCCAAGCTCAGACTACTCAGACCGCCGGTTTCCCCAGGTTAGTGTAATTTAATATTTAATACCACCAATTTTGAGTTATGTGTTATGTGTTTGAATGTTTTTACAGGATCCAGAATATTAAATGCCTGGGAAAATAAAAATTATAGTGATAAAAAGAATGGCAGAGGAAAAACAACTCCTCCATTGATACAGGTAAAGATTATTTGTTATTCGAGGGGCACCTGTAATAGACAATGTTTGTTTTCTTAATTGTCGGCTTTTAATGATTTTCAACAGTATAGATTCCCTTGTTGACAATAGACATAATAGTTACTAGTTAGTTAAATTTGTAAAATTGATTTAAACAATTAGGTATTTAGCATGATAATTATAAAATATTTAAATAATAAAAAAAAGTGTTTTTTAAAATCAATTTTTAATAATAAATGCATGGCTAAAGTATTATTTTTATTTTTAATCAAAACTAATTATAGGTAATTGTAAACCAATTTACCTAATATATACCTAGGTAATAAAATACAAATAAACTTGCTTTAATTATTACTTACTCTGATTTATTATACAACAGATGTCTACAACATTTATTTAAAAAAAAAAATAATTAGATTTAGAGATGCATGCAGTAGTTTTGTGTTAAATTTATTAAAAACTTAAAATATTATCTTATATTAAATTAGATGTATTGAACTATTGGGTGTATAATAAAAATACCTGTTATAGGTATTGGTTTTAAATGTTTTCAATGCATACCTATTATAATATTTTTTCTGTTTCATGTAATATTAATAAAAATTATATTTTGATGTATGTATGTTCTAAAAATATTATTTAATAGATAACACAATAATACTTATTATTATATACCTACATAGTTTGAAATTCATTAAATGCTACAAATAACATTATGTTTAACAATAATTTTAGGTCATTAAACCTGTTAAAATCAATTTTTCAAAAAAAACCACAAAAATATATGAACCAGTCAATATACCTAAAAAAGAAATTATAATTTCAGAATATAACAAATATCCTCTTAATACTTCCCCTTTAATGACTAAGGTAGACCAAAAGTCGATAAAATTACTATCAATAAGTTTTGTTATTCATGGTTAAAAAATTATTTAATTATACCTTAGGATGAATTTAGTACCAATCCTAAATCGCCTACAACAACTCATTCTTCAGAGTCTGAAAACAATAATGGATGGCAGAATGATTCTAAAAACAATCAGTCTTTTCGTAATTGGAGTCTTTTTGGAGGAGCTATTATACTATCAGGAACAGTATATGGTGTAAGTATTAAAAATATTGAAAAAGCTAAATTTCACTATTAAACAAAAAAAAATATGATTCATATAATAATACTCAACAATAATAAATTAAAATAATATATAGTACCTATCCCGGTACATATTGGCTATTACTACTTATATTGTACATTTCTTCTAAAACAGATCTATCATTTTGACATAATGAAACAAAAAAAAGATGATAACCTTATTACCGAAGAGAATACAAATGGTAAATTAAGACATTGTAATGAAAAATTTTGAAATAATAACTCACTCATGTTTAATTTATTTTAGCTAAAAAAATACGCAAACTGGTTCAAATTCCTTCATTATCTGAGTCAATACCTGATAATATACAGTATTTATTAATTGGTGGAGGTACAGCTTCCTTCTCAGCATTCCGAGCAATCAAGTCAGCAGATCCCACCGCCAGGGTGAGATAACTATTTTTTTTTATCTTATTACACCTAATATTATCACCTATTCTGATGTATAACTATATTTTTAAAATCAAGGTTTTAGTAATATCAGCTGAAGGTTATCTTCCCCATATGCGACCCCCATTATCTAAAGAATTATGGTATGGTGATGATACTGAAATGGCAAAGTCTTTAAACTTTCATCAATGGAATGGTACATCTAGAAGTCTTTTTTATGAACCTGAACCATTTTATACACCTGTTGAAGAATTAACCACGGCCAAAAATGGTGGCATTTCACTAGCACGAGGCTGGAAAGTTGAATCAATAAATGTATCAAAAAAAAAAGTGAAGCTTAATGATGGTAAAGAAATCAGTTATGATAAGTGCTTAATAGCAACTGGTTCAGTTCCAAAAACATTAAAACTGTATGATGACGCAAATGAAGAACTTAAAAATAAATTCTCAGTATTTCGGTCCATCAGTGACTTTGAAGATTTATGGGAACAACTGGGTCATATAAAATCTATTGCCATTATTGGTGGAGGATTTTTGGGTAGTGAGCTTGCTGCTTCATTGGCCAACAAAGGAAAAAAAAATGGAGTTAAAATTTATCAAATATTTAAAGAAAAGGGTAATATGGGAAAAGTTTTACCTAAATATCTTAGTCATTGGACTACTGAAAAAGTTAGAAATGAAGGTGTTGAAGTTGTGACCGAAACAGAGGTAGAGAATTGCAGTTTAGAAAATAATAAGCGACAAGTCAACTTGAAATTAAGTAATGGGAAAAATGTTAGTACATTTTGACTTTAAAATAAATTAAATTTGGAATTTGTATCTTTTAAAGTAATGGTTTTTCAGATTTCTGTTGATCATGTGATAATGGCAGTTGGTGCTAAACCTAACACCGAACTAGCTACTGATGCTGGATTAGAAATTGATTCAAAGCTTGATGGTTATTTGGTCAATTCTGAATTACAAGCAAGAACAGATTTGTATATTGTTAGTATATAAAAATATTTTAATATTTTACATATTATGTTATTAACGTTATATTTATCTGAAATTAATTTTATAGGCTGGTGATTGTGCTTGTTTTTATGACAAACAACTTGGAAGGAGGCGTGTCGAACACCATGATCATGCTGTAATATCGGGAAGATTAGCTGGTGAAAATATGGCTGGTGCTGGTAAGTATTATTAAAGTAATAATAAATAAATATCTTTCTGGGGACATCACTAACTTTTATTTGTTACATAATGGTTTATATTATTATTCAATTATTAATAACATAACAAATTATGTGTCAATACAGTATTTAATATTATAAAATTGACTTTCTTTACTAAAGGCAATGTTTGCAATTTTTTTGCGGTCTTGTTAGCCTTGTGTAATTTTATAATATGTTTGTTATAAAATACAGTAAAATTTGCTTAAGACGCTTTCCCGCATAAGACGCTATTTTCCGTCGGTCCCTATATTATCTATATCCCTATTTCATTCCCGCATAAGACGCTTTCCCGCTTAAAAAGCTCTAGAGAGCTGGTCCCTTAAAGAGCTTCTTAAGCGAGTTTTACTGTATTAATATAAATTTTTTTTGTTATTTTGGCGGACTCTATAGTGTTAACACATTCGTTGCGTTTGTCGGCTATATCCGACGGACCGGTTTTCACACGGTGCGTCTGTCAGATATAGCCGACTTGTAGGTATGTGAACGGTGCGCCTGTCGGATATAGCTGACATCATTTCCGTAGAATTAAATATGCTATTAAATAGAGATGTACTAGAGTAATGTTTTTTTTTTAACACACCTCTGCATAGAAATTTCTTGTTATTTCAGTCCAATCCATTGATGAATAACTTATTTTGTTGATTTTTCCGACACTAATTAAAATGTCCGAATTGGTGGCACGCTCCTAGCGAACATCGATATATATTGTGACGTGTCCCAACTAATTATTTGACGATTTGACGCAGTGAATGTGTTAATCTATAAATGTGAAATTAGCCCTGTAAGTACAAAATGTTGGATCACCACAGTCATAAGCATAATTACATAAGCCCTCATAAAATTAAAAAAATTAGTTAATGATTACCACAATTATAAATACCCTAATCCCCAAATAAAATCATCTGTATGTACCAACGAGATTGATAACAAACATTTAAAACTGAAATAATGCTACAGAACATTAAATGTAAACAAAAAATTAAGAACAAAACTTAAATAATGAATATCAGAGTATAGGTGTAGACATGGGACTTTTATATGATGTAATTATGTAAATATTATCAGTGGCGTAATTTGGTTTTGTCAAGATAAACTGCATTATTTCAATATATTTGTGTAATATTGCACTAGTGATTAGTGTTTATCACAAAGTAATATTATCTCAGTAACAACTATACTCAGTTCAGGTTGAGATTGAACCTCGTCGAGCATGCAGACTGAGCCGCCGAACAGTGCCTGACCCCCATGCGATGGCTATGCATTCTGTGATTGGCCGACAGTCATGGCCGTCGTTGATCGTCGGCGTTGGTGCCGGCCGCCGTGCCTAAGCTCCCACCGGTGTCCGGAATGCGCGAAATAAACTTGTTTTGGTCGTCCGAGCGGTTCAAACTTAATCTGAACAGAATATACCATAGGGGACTTATTTATTGTTTCTATAAAATAAACTATATTAGTACGATAGTACCTATAAATAATAATATTTATATAATTAAATAAGAACATAAATATGGTTTGCCAGTTTTAAAAAAAAAGTTATGGGGGGTAACATCCAAATCTTCCCCCATGTAATTACCCGACTGGTTATTATCTTACTTGATTTCGAAGAAAATTTTGTTTTTGAATTTTCAGCTAAACCATACCAACATCAACCTATGTTTTGGTCAGACATTGGGCCTTCTGTGGGTTATGAAGCAATTGGCATTGTCGATTCGTCTCTAGCAACAATGGGTGTGTTTGCCAAAGGAAATCATAAAGATCCATCACTTTTGGCTAATGAAACTGACCAAAATACCTTAACCAATAAAAAAGAAACAAATGAAGAATTAGTATCCAAAAATAATGAATCTATTTCTGAAAATGATTATAACAAAGGTGTAGTTTTCTACTTGAAAAATGATGTAATTGTTGGAATTGTGTTATGGAATTTGTTCAACAGAATGTCTATAGCACGCCAAGTGCTTAAAACCAATAGATGTTACAAAGATCTCAATGAAGTTGCGAAACTCTTCAATATTCATGGTGATTCTTCATGATGCCCATACTGAATTTAAATGTTATTTTAAACATTGTTTAACTGTTATACTAGTATTTTTAATACTAGATAGAATGATGAAATATGAAATCCTTTCGTATATGTAAAAATTAATATATTTTTGTATAGACTGATTCTATTCTAGAATTTTTTTATTTCATATTTTATTGACATTCCTTCTGCATAGAGTTGTTATATCACTAGTTAGTAAAATGTTTTCACTAATGAAATGTTAATAATAATCGTATAGATACTTGTACAATACGATAGTGTGTCATTAGATTTGTGAATAGTATTAATATTATAAATTTATAATATGTTGTATGTTTTTTAATTATTCACAAAGTAGTTAATGCATTCAGTACTTACTCTAATAAAATATTCATGAGCTATGGGTAACATAAATTAAACACGTTTTTTATATATTTTTTATAGATGAAATAACATATTCACAATCACATTTTTACTAGAAAAATATTTTTTTTTGTAAAAAATCAAACAATAGATGTTGAAATACAAAAATAAAGAATTAAATATTGCAATAAATTGAAAAAGTAAAATTGTATTAAATAATTTTTTAAAAAAATTTAACATTAAACAATTTATTATTGAACATTAAATTAATATTATTTCTTGTTTTTAGTTAATCTATTAAAAACATAAATAAACCATACTATACTTAACTCGACTTAGTTTTTAGTAATAACTAATAACATTCTTCTCTTAATAGCTTAGTACTTTGTACATGATATTGTGTTTATTTCATGTTTTAATATAATTTATATATAAACAAGTACTATTAGGGCCTTTCTTACAATGTCCGGTTAAAGTTAATAGACACTTAACCGTTAGAATTCTCCCAGTAATAAAATTTGTTATCAGCCAGTTAGCGTTAACCGACACTCAACCGGACATAGTAAGAACGACCCTTAGTCATTAGAGGATTTTCTAGAAAGTATTTTGTCTTATTGGTTATTAGATACTAACATTATGTTAGTCTTAATTTCATAAATACATTATTCATAAACATTAATTAAATTAATGGATTATATCTAGACACTCGGTAGCGTGTCAAGCCAAGTTCTAGCTAACAGAAATGGCGTGCAGCACCGTGTGTAATATTACACGAACCATTTGGAGCCACTTTTGACCCACTCATAACTCAAAATATATTCCACATACACAAGTCAAATTTGGCTCATATATTCAGACTTATTAGATACATATTATGTTCTCCAAATTTCATAAACACACCAAAAACCCTTATTAAGATATTAACGTCCCAAAATCGTCATTTTTATCACAGACTGACTGACTGACTGACAGCCCTATAGATCAAAATTCTAACCCCGTTCCAGATGACCTAGAAGTTTAAATTTGGCATACAGATAGGTAGTTAGGTTAGTACAAAGGAAAAAATCAGTAACTTGAAAATTTTTAATTTTTTAATCAATTGATTTTATTATAATTTTTCAATTTTTTGATCTATTATATTTAATTGTTCAATTAATTAATTTATATTTAATTGTTCAATTAATTAATTAAGTGCCTCTAATTTAATGTAATGTAATATAATGTTGACTTAAATAGCTCCGCTAATCTTTCCCATATCTTTCGCCACTCCAAAAATACGTCCAGTTGAATATGTGTCGATATTGGCGATCCGCGCGCAGCAACATACTTTTTTTCTATGTATGTAATTACTAATTAATATTAATTTTTAAAAAAAATTTCAATTAAAATAATTAAATAATTTATCTTACGATTATGAATTACCCACCCACCAGTAGAAATTATAGTAAATAAAATGATGATAATTAAAAATATACTCAAAAAGAGATAAAATAATTTTATATTTTATACCCTGTATACAACAGAAAATATTTTATAATAAATATTATAAATATTAGTAACTGAATTATAATATATAGTTATAAACTTTATTTATAGAATACGTCATGGCTAGGTTAGGTTAGGTTATAATAATTTACATACAAAAAGTAATGATATCCCACCAAAAATATACATGTAAAATGAGAGCCAAGTTCAATACTATAATATATGCCTTGGTTGTTGACTTCAACGACAAAAGAATTGAGATCTAAATGGGTGCCAAGTAAGGATAATATATTGAAGCCTAAGGTCTGACTTGGCTACGAATTATATTATAGCATTCGCAAATTCTAAAGCTTTGAGTCCTTATTTTATTCTTCGGAAAATCATCTTCACTCTTCCATTACTGTTTTAGTAGGTATTTAATAATAATTCCTATATGAAAACTAGCAGAGTCAGACCTTAGGCTTCAAAATTTTAAATTCATCTTTGTATTAAATGTTGGTGCATTTCAAAAGATAAATATCCTCAATTGTTACAAAAGGCCGTGTTGCCACTTTTACCATTTGCAACCACTTATATGGGTGAAACGGAGTTCACCACCTATGTACCAACAAAAACAAAATCCCACAACAGACTTGATGCCGAATCTAATAATATGAGAATACAGCTTTTATCAATAAAGCCCAATATTAAGAATATTTGTATTTTGTAATAATAAAAAGTAATTTCACTCATCACATTAAAATTAAAATTCAGAAGTCTTGTTTTTGTATATTATTTAAAATATTTTTTGAATTAAATACAGAATAGTGTGTACACATTTAACTCTTTCGGGCACTGTGGGATACACGCCGCAGTTGGTGAGTGGATTTCCGAGACCTACTTTATGTATTAGTTGATTCCCTGGTCATCAATACCTCTTGATTCTCGGGTACGAGTTGATTCTCGGGTCATTATATATCACGGTATACTGGTTATCACTTATCTCATTACAGACACCAATTATTAAAAACAATGTCTTATACATTTTTACCAAATTACTACATTTTTTTAATTACAATTTTTTACTTTTTACCTACCTACTTATTTTTTTTACTTATAATTTTTTAACAACAAATTGAATGATTTTCAAAATATCAAAAAAGTAAAAATAACAACATTTTTGAGAAACGTATCAGCCAACCTCCTCGAGGTGTTTCTTGGGTTACGCTAATTAGGCTGAATATTTGACTAAATATTGAAAATAATATATGATAAATTCTACTTTATTGATGTTTTCTTTAATTATTTTGTTTTTGTACGTCTGGCGCCCGGGTGGCCCTGCCCTAGGCCTGGGTGCTTCAGGCTATGGGGTGTTCGCTCGAGTGGACCAGCGTCCCTCGGCAAACCCCCCGCTCGAACAAGGCCCACGCAGTCGGGCTTGCCCGTGGCCGACCAACCGCCGACCGTGTGCTCCGAACCATCGCCCGACAGCCTCCTGGCTTCCCGCACCATCGCCCAGAGCTTTTCCATATGCGTGGCAATTATGCCACGGGATGGCAGGTTGTTGCGGGTTGGTGGTGACTAGTGGATGATTTGCTCGTTCTGCCATCTAAAACAAGGTATGGTTACCTATTTAATGTTTTCTGACGGTCCTTCAGCTAACTTCATCGCTGTGACATGTTACTTAGTAGGGTGTTTACCCTCCGTCAAGAACACTCTAGTTCCTAGTGGTTTACACGACTTAACCGGACCTAACCATTTCGGGGCGAACCCCGAGTGGAAACGCTTCTCCGCTGCACTTGACTGCGGATGCGCTTTGTAATATACCCAATTCCCGACTGGCAGATTGCCTTTTCCCGGGAATTCTGGGGGTAGGTACATGGGCTTTGGGGCTAGACACCACCGGGTAACCCCTCTCTATCACCAGAGCATCATCCGGTTCCACCGGAAAATCTTCGATTTCCACCGAAGGGTTCCGATCTGCTCCGGACAACTCCGAACCATTTTTGCCGTCGTCAGGTGACTCTTCAGCTAACTCGAGCTGCCAGTATCCGGGGGCCTTGATTTCCCGACCAAACTAAATTTTAGCCGGCTGGTGTTTAGGTTTTCTTTTTTCTTACTGAGAACAACACGTGTGGCAAGTAGACATCCCACAGATGATGAGGCTTATCAACAAGTAAGGTTTGAAGCCCTTCCTTCAACTCTTGATTTCGCCTTTCTGCCGGATTGGCACGTGGGTGGTATATTGGAGTCGTCCATCCTTTCACTCCCACCTCCTTAGTGCGTCTCCCATTGCCTTGGACAAGAACTGCGGGCCATTATCTTACAATAATGCCCTCGGGTATCCGAACCGTGGGAACAACTCCCTTTCAAATGTATCCAAAATCGATTTGGTCGTCGACTTTCCTAAGGGGTACACCTCTACCCAGCGACTGTAACAATCAGTTACTACCAAAATCGTTGTCTTACCCCGCTGCGTTCGTGGGTATAGACCTATCAGATCGATGCTCAGCAGTCAGCACCTCCCAAGGTTGCCGTGAAACTCAGGTGCAAATCCGATCTTCTGGTTTGCGATTCAGTGGTTATACACGTGCACAGACGTCGCACGCCCGTACTTAGTTACTCACTGTTTCAAGCATACCGGCCCAAAAGAAACGACTCTTTATGCTTCCGTACGTTTCTTTCCACCCTCGGTGATTCGCTGCATCGTGAAACCTTTGTAGCAAAATCTGGGCCTTGTCCGCCGGGACAACCAACCCCTCTTATCCATGCGCGATGGATCGAGGGTGGCAGTGCAACACCTTGTCCCGGATGATGTACAATTTCCGCAGACGACCGAACCTTGCCCCGTCTCTGGAGAGTTTAGCAGCTATCTCCCGTATGTTGGGATCGTTCTGTTGCCACTCTCGGACATCTTGCAATGATACGTGTCCGTCGTCCTTCTTCGGCTGGATCGCCCCACACTAGGTGACACCAAAACCGGACACTCCGGGCAGATCACCGAAGGTACCGGACGTTTCACAGGACCCTCCAGTCTGAATCACCGGAGGATCGTGGATATTATTCTCCAACGACTCTTCGTCCACCGTATTCGGTCCTACCGAACAACGAGATAGCGCGTCGGCTGCTTCATTTTCTACCCCGGGCACTTGCAGGATCTCAAAATCGAAAGCCTCGAGTTGT